GGAAACCGCCCAGCCGGGCCGCCGCGCCGCCGTATTCTCTCTAGTACCGCCGCACCCCCACCCCGGCGGGCGGCGCCCCGAGCCTCGCGGGCACCCAGCGGGCCGACGAGGGTCAGTGGGGGACAGCAGGCGGTCGCAGTTTGCAGGTGACTACCACCAGCGCTGGCCCCTGCGGAGGGGGGAGCCTCTGCCTCAGTTCATTTGGGGAGGGGCGCAGGCCCGTACGTGCTGCAGGCCCTTTCTCTGGGGAGCAGCTTTCCCGACTTTCGACGATGAATAAAATAGCAGTAATAATAACTGCATCTGAATTTACTGTTGAGCGCTTTCTCAGTGCCCCGCTGTAACGTCCTTCCCCCAGCTGTCTCCCCCGTTTGTAGGCAAGAGAAAGGTGAGGGTTTCCTTCTAGAAAGGACCCAGGAGCTAAGCTCGGCTCCTCCTGATGGATGGGCATGGCTCAGTGCAGCGGCCCCCAAAAGCCAGGGAGAGGGCTGCTCCTCCATGTCATGGACAGATGCTTATTGAGCATTTACTGGACGCTGGACAGGGATCCAAACACTGGGGACATAGCTGTGATCAAGGGATGTAGCGCCCTCTTTGTGATGCATCCCAGGGGAGCAGTGCTAACAGAGAGGCACACAAGTGAATAGGAATTGTCAGGAACATGTGATTAGAGGAGAGCCGGGAGAGCACCAGGGTGCCATCCACAGATAGAGAAACCAAGGCAATCCCGGGCCTGGCAGCTTCTAAGATCTCAGGGTCCCTCTGGGATCCCACACCCCTGCCTTGTGATCTGCCAGCCCTAACACCTCTGCTTCCTCACTCTTTGCCCTACCTCTCAGCCTCAGGTCCCCCCTCTGGAACCCAAGGCTGACCAGTTCCAAGTCCAGTCTCAATTTGTGAGAAGCCAGCAAGATAATAAGGCCAGATGGAGGCCCCACCCCTCCAACACATCCACTAGACCTTGGAGGGAGGTGGAATTTAGAGTCCCATTGTCCACACAGGGAAAGTGAGGCTCAGAGGGGGCCATGACTCCAAGAGGCCTGTCTCAGATTTGCTCACCCAGCAAACACTGAGCCTCCCCCCAACCCCCCAGCACCTTTGTGCTGGGGCAACACTGGCATGGCCCCACTGTCTGCCAGGGGAGGCAGATACCAGTGAATGCATCACCTCACCACTGACTGGGTCAGCCCCAGTCTCACAGCCTGACAGAGCCTGTTGAACCCCAACTTTAGCTATCATGAAGAGTGCCCTAGAGCAATTACTTGTGTGATTCCATTGCTCCACTGGGTGTAGAGCTGCGGTCAGAAGAGTAGTTGTGGTCTTAGCCCTACAGTGTCTCCAAGGTGCTGGGGTCTTTAATGAAAACTTGCCAGACAAATGGACGGATTACAGGAAGGATGACTCCTGGAACAGCGCCCCTTTCTGCAGTGGGGGCCTCAGGGGCCTCAGCGACCTTCTTCCATTAACTGGACAGGGACAGTGGGGCCCAGGAAGGGGAAGTGACCAGCTAGGGTATGCAAGGAGGGGCAATGCCAGGCTGACCTGGGAACTGACCTGGGAACTGGGGGCTTCAATCCCCACTCACCCTTGCCCAGCTGGGGACAAGGTCTCTCTTCCCAGTTCGGCTGGGAGAGGATGCAGTGAGTTTATTCTGTGCTGACTCCTGTGCTAAGCAACTCAGACACTAATCTGGTGCCACTCAAACAGGGTTCGAATCCTGCTACCAACATTTCCTGCTTTGTGACTTCTGGCAAGCATCCAAACCTCTCTGCCTCTTTCTCCTCAGTGGCCCACAGGCATCATAGCATCAGAAATACTATTTTCTTTTTTTTCTTTTTTTAAATATATCTTTATTGATTTCAGAGAGAGGAAAGGAGGAGGAGAGAGAGAGATAGAAACATCAATGATGAGAGTCATTGACCGGCTGCAGCCTGCAACCTGGGCATGTGCCCTGACCGGGAATCGAACCCCAATCTCCTGGATCCTAGGTTGATGCTCAACTGCTGAGCCACTCCCGGCCAGGCCAGAGTTACTATTTTCAAAGTACTTAAACAGGACCTAAACATGTGTACGTGTTGGTCATCACTTCACAAAAGCTGCTACTGGTGAGGAAAGAGACTGAGCCAGGCGGAGGCCTTGCCAGACCTCGAAGTGAACCCAAAATCTTTGGCCTAGCTCAGCCAGAAGCCCCACCCCTACTCCCCCACCCCACCACATTTGGGGCTGGGGAAACTGAGGCCCAGAAAGGAAAAGTACCTGGGGATAGATCCCAAACACCTGCCCTGTGGACTGCCACAGAACCCACCCTGGAAGGGACCAGGGCAGGGAGGCCACCAGCTCTGACTCCAAACAGGAACCTCCCCAAGTCAACAAAACCTTCTGCCTCCTCTGCAGAGCCCTGTGACTGAGAGATGTGTCAGCCCCCCCATTACTCCCCCAAACCCTGAACTGTAGTCTCCCTGGAATCAGAGATGAGGAGGCTGTGGTTTCAGGCTCAAGCTGGGGAGGGGGCCCAGAAGGTTTCCACCAACCCCACGCACCCTAAGTCGTGCAACCTCATGCTGTGTGGCCTGGGTCTTCACCCCCTCCTCAGTCCTAGCCCTCTCCCCCACCCCAAGGAACATACTATATGGAAAGGGGAAAGTGGCAAGTCTCAAAGAAGATACAGGAAAGTGGTGCTTCCCAGGATTCAGACCTGAGTCATAGGCTGCCCCCTGTGGCCATCCAACAGACAGGCTTGGAGGGCACACAGAGAGGTGGCTCAAAGACAAAGAGGCTGTCATCCCAGCTCCAGGCCTCAGGAGCCACTTGTGCCCATGCAGCTCTGGGCTCTAAGCTGTCTTCTCCTTTGAGAAAGGGGAGGGAAGGCCTGTCTGCAAGCTCCCAAGAGGGACTCAGGTTCGACAAGGCACTGGGGGAGGGGGCATCAGATAAGGAAACTGAAGCATGGGGGAATGGCCTGATTCTGCGGAGTGCCCAGTTCAGAGAAGGAAGCAACTGGTCCAAAGCTGCACAGCAGAATTTGAAACAACATCTCTACTACCTCCCACCCCAGGGCTCCCTGAGGGTGAGGCTGAGGCAGGGAGCATTTGCTGACTGAATAACTGCAGGTAGAATGGGCTGGAAGCAGTGTGGGAACCTAGCTAGAGCCAGGCTCCTAGTTCCTGTCACCATGGGGATTCCCTAGACCTGGCTTTTCTGGGTCAGGGAGCAGGATGGGGGATGTGATGAGGTTAAAACCCCAGCTCTGCCACCTCCCCGTGGTGTGGCCTTGGGAAGTCACCTTACCCTTCTGAGCCTCCATTTCCTCATCTTTAAAGTGGGGAGAATCTGAGCACCTTGAGTTTGTGCGGTTCTCAACATGTCTAGCAGGAGTGTTAGGTGAGACTGAAGGGGATGGTACCAGGTCTTGGAGGACCCAGGGCTATGAATGAATGAATGAATGAATGAATGAAGCAAGAGCAAATCTCTGGCCTACAAATCTCTGGAATCACGCTTCTTCACAGTATTTGGTCCAGCCCCCAGGGCATTCTCTCAGCTGCCCCCATTCCTATCCTGCCCCCAACAGTATATTTCTCACTTGGGAATCTTATCACCTCTCTGCTTAAAAGGTCCCTAGCAGCTCTTCCTGGCACTCAGCTTTGCCTCTGCTGTTCCCACTCCACTGCCTGCCCCCTCCTCCTCCCCCATTTCACCTCCTGCCACTGGCCATCCTTCTGCCCCTGAATGTGCTGTGCTCCACACACCACAGAGCCTTTGCAAATGATGCTCCCCCTGCCCAGAACTCTATCCTACTCATCCTCTAGATCAAAGCCCGTGTCATTCCCACAGGGAAGCCTCCAGGATTTCCTGGGATCTCTAAGCTCCAAGACTTTCCCCTTTTCACACTTGTCATTAGACACCCTGTGGTGATTTGTTGATTAATGTCATTTGACTGTTAATTCCACAAGGACTGGTCTGTCTTAGTCACTGTTGCATCCCCCTTACCCACCAGAGCTTCTGGCAGATAAGAGAAGCTCAATGCAAGCAATTAAAGGGTCTTGGGGAGCAGGGGGAAGGGGTGTGGATGGACTGATGAATGAATAATACATAGATGGGTGGGTGGGTGGATGGACAAGCATGATGGGTGGATGGATGGATGGATGGATGGATGGATGGATGGATGGATGGATGGACAAAGGACGGATGGATGGACTGGTGGCTCTCAGTCTCCATGTCTCTGAAGTAAGAGACATGGAATCAGAGTGTCCCTCTGGCTCTATCTTTTGATGGTTTCACCCCTAGTTAGGGGCAGAGCAGAGTGGCTTTTATTCCCCACACCCATACCAGGTCCCCAGGCCTGCCAACTGCAGGGAAACACAAACCCAAACCCTGGGCAGGGATGAGGCCCTGGTGGGGTGTGGGGAGGGCTGGGGACATCTTGGGTGGAGATGCCTCCATGTTTGGGGAGGAATTAGAGGAGGGCCCTGGGAGAACAGCAGTCTCTCCGGGAGGGAGTGTCTCAGAACCCACGTACAGGAGGTTCTGGAAGACAGAATCAGGTGCTGAGGGGGAAGTGGGCATCAGAGGGAACTAGGGGCTTTGGGGTGACAGGAGCATCTCAAGAAAACAGGGAGGAAAGAAGGGACCCCTGAGAGATCAGGCCATGTTAGGGGCAAGTTAGGAGCAACTGGCAGAAAACAAGGAGCTTTTTGTCAGATATATCAGGATATATCAAGAGAGAGGCTTGTAGCATTTGGGAGATAAAATAGGTGTTTCCAAAGAGAATTTGGGGTATATTTAATAGAGAAGTTGGGGTACATTCAACTGAGAAGTTGGGGTATACTCATCTCTAAAAATAGAGGTGTATGAGAGATGTTGGGGAATTCTAGGAGCACGGACCACCCCTTCCCACTCCCCGCAACAGGGGCACACCCACAGGCAACTCTCTTCTCTCCATGTCCAGGTCCTCAGTCCCCCACCTCCTCCAGCCCCCAGGAGGCCAAATCTGGTGCCACCTGGCTTTCCACTGTGGAGACTGACTGCAGCCCCCAACCCCAAAGGGCCCCTTAATGTGCAGTGGGCTCACGCTCCTCGTGTCATTCCCAGGTTTAATTATAAACAGATTCAAAATGTCCAGCTCAGGTCAATACCCCCCACTTCAACATCAGCCTGTGTCCTGGCCTGAGGACCCAAAGCACCTCAACTCTCCCTCAAAAACTGTGCACCAATTTTTCAGGGGAAAACACTGAGCCTGGCCAGGACAGGACTCCAACTCCATGCCAGGAGCCTAGGAACCTTCTCCTTCCAGGGAAATGAGCTGAAGTCCAGCTGGGAAAAGAGACAGTGTCTCCCTGCCCCACCAGGACCTCGCCAGGACACTGAGGGCTGCTTTTTGATATATTTTCGTTAAAGGCGAGAAACGGTTCTGTCTTTGGTTTGTACCCTAACTCCAGGCAGGGGGCTCAGGAGAGAGGGGTCTTGGGCGTCTCCTGGCATGGTTGACCTGGCCCAGCCAAGAGTGGGCTGGAGAAGGGAAATTCAAGGCCCATGTGGAGGAAGGAGAGACTGCAGTGGTTCGGCCTGACCAGGGTCCAGAGAAAGGCTGTAAGGCCACAGGAAGGACATCTGGGTAGCAGGGACAGGAGCCGAGGGTGGCAACCATCACCTAGAGGAGAAAGGGGAGAAGTCAAGGGTCAGCTGTGACAGCAACCAGAGAGCTGGATTCAAGAGTTAGGTACTCCAAACCTCAGTTACACTGCAGTAAAGTGACCCAGCAAGGAACCTCAGGCCCAGGGGCCCAGGGTTCAAGTCCCAGCTCCTCCATGTTCTTGCCATGTCCCCTAGGGCAGTGTCTTAATCTCTGTGCTGTTTCTTCTGCAAAATAAGAATTCTGATAACAGTGCCTGTCTCAGAACGTTGTGGGAGTCAGAGGTGTGGGGAGGTGAGCATAGTCCTTGGGCACAGCAACGGCTGCATTAGCAACTAATATAATTGCCATTGGTGTTGTTTCTCAGGCCACAAACAGCTTTAGGGGCAGAAGGAAATCAGGTCATACCCTGGCATGTCAAACACACAGCCCCAGAACACTGCAGAGCGCTTCAGGTGTTCCATAGGCAGACCCCAGACTCCTGAAGCCCTTCCCCAGACTGGATACCCCAGCAGCCAGGCCCATCTGGGTGCAGGGAGGAGACTGCACTGAGTGGGGGAGGAGGCAAGAAGAAGACCTTTGTCATGGGTATAGGAGAGCAGCCCAACCTGGCTCAGAAGCTCCTCTTGCTCAGCCCTTGGGGAAATTCCATAGTCCCCTTCCCCTTCGGTCCCTCCCTCCCTGAGCCTAGCCCCCAGTTCCCAGATCCTGGAATCCCCAGGTCCTGTCTCTCTCACCTCCACAAACACTGCTCATGACACTCCACCCCTCTGCACCCCAGCTCAGTCACCTCCTATCCTGCCTGGCCCTTCTCCACTCAAAACCTTCCTGTGGCTCCCCAGCACCAAAACTGAAAGGCCAAGGGTGTACCTTTCCATCTCATCCACCCCGCCTGACACTCAGCCCTGCAGGACCCAAGCCACACTGGTTCCCTCCTCCAGGGTAGCCAAATGCTGCCTCCTCCTGGAGATTTTTATCACCAATTAAACAGAGTCACTATAACAACTTTGCCATTCCACTCCTAGAGATAGACCCAGCCAAAGGCGATGAAGACACATCCACTGTACACACAAGTTCACAGTGGCCAATGATGAATGGATAAATACAACATGGCCCATCCACACACTGAAATATTACCTAATCATGAAAAGGAGGGAAGCACCGACACTCTTTACTATGTGGATGAACCTTGAAAACATGATGCTTAGTGAGAGAAGCCAGATAAAGTCACACAGTGGGATTCCATTTATATGAAATATCCAGAACAGGCAAATCCAGAGAGACAGGAAGTGGGTTAGTGTTTGTCAGAGACTGGGGGAGGGGGGGAGGAGTGACTACTAAGGGGGACAGGGCTTCTTTTTTGGGTGATGGAATGTTCTCAAATTAGGGGGATATTGCACAACTCTGTGAAGATACTAAAAACTACTGAGGTGTCCACTGTAATGGGTAAACTGTGTGGCATGTGAATTCCTTCTCAGTTTTTAAAATGAGAAGTGTGATGAATGGGTGATGGCCAGAAGCCAGCAGGACCGACTACACACCTGGCTCAGGGCTCCCGCTTGACCACACCGCGCAGGTGCAGCTCGCTCTCAGCGGCTACAATGGGCTGCCCGTTCTGCAGGTGATAGTCAATCAGGTGGCTGATGCTCTCGAACAGCACGTCCTTCGTCCGAACCTGTGGGCCAGAGGTCTCAGCATCAGCACCACCAGGAGTTTGTCAGAGAGCAAACTCAGGCCAGCCCCAGACCGGCAGAATTGGAGCCTACACTTTCACAAGCCTCCCAGTGGCTCTGATGCACTCTCAAGTGTGAGAATCACTGGATCCAAGTCTCACAGAATTGGCCTCAGAATTCCAGAACTAGGTATGGACACAGGCTCCAGAACCACCAGGATTCTGGAGCCACACTCCCTAGCAGTAAATAGTGGCCCCAAAATGATATACCCACGTCCTAACCCCTGGAACCTGTGAATGGAACTTATTTGGAAAAAGGATCTTTGAAGATGTGATTAAGTGAAGGGGTCCCGAGATGAGCTCATCCTGGATTATCCAGGTATCCCCAAATCCAGTGACTTGTGACCTTAAAAGAAGAGAACAGCCCTGGCCGATGTTGCTCAGTGGTTAGAGCATTGGCCTGCACACCAAAGGGTCGCAGGTTCAATTTCCAGTCAAGGGCACATACTTGGGCTGCAGGTTTGATCCCCGCCCTGGTCGGGGTGCTTGCGGGAGGCAACCAATTGATGTGTCTCTCTCACACTAATGTTTCTCTCTCTCTCCCCCTTCCTCCCTCCCTTCCACTCTCTAAATATCAATAGAAAAAAAATATCCTTGGGTGAGGGTTTATAAAAAAGAGAGAGAACAACTTGGACACAGACACACAAGGAAAAGGCATGAGAAGATGGGGGCAGTGATTGCAGTGATGTGTCAACAGGCCAGGTATTAGCAAGAACTGCTGGGGACTGTGAGAAGCTGGGAGAGGGACATGGAACAAATTTTCCCTCAGAGCCTCAAAAGGAACCAGCCCACCCAACACCTTGATTTCATATTTCTGGCTTCCAGAGCTGAGAGAGAATAAATCTCTGTCGTTTTAAGACACCCAGTTTGTGGTCATTTGGTGGGGCAGCCCTTGGAAATGAATATACCCCTGGAATCTCAGAGCCACAGACCAAAAACCAGAATCACCAAATCCAAAAACCATCTGCGTCTTAGAATAAGAAAATCTTAGCATCACTGCATGCCAGACATTTCATGGGTGATGCTGGGTACATGGCAGCTGGACAGCAGGCTTAAATGCACATTTCTGGGCCCAGCCACACAACTGCCTTCCACCCGAGTATGCGCTATACAGAGAGACAAGGAGTGTACGCAGCCACCGAGGGCAGTTTCTGAGGATTCTTCTGGACGGGTAATAGCAGTTGGTAAACATTAAGGCTTTTAACACCTCCAAACACCCTCTCACCTGAGAAATAACCTGTAAAGCCCAAGGCCCTTGGGTGCTGGAAAATACTTCAATAACCCTGGAACTGCTTATAAATTGGAACATGTTTTGTAAAGACTAAAATACTTTAGGAGCTGTAGAAGACCAAATCTCATTGACTCAAAGCAGCTGTTAGATGCATCACTATTTCATGTACCACT